GACGTGATTCTGCAATCTGCATTTGGGGTAAAAATTGGGAGTTCATAACCCACTTCAATCTAATGTATGAAATATGATATGTCAAGAGCTTTGTAATGTTGTGAACAACCAATAAAAAAATAAATAAAATGAAATTAGATTCTCCTCTTCTGCTGGTGGGTAGGATCTGCTTAAGCTGGAGGCTSCTGTAGCTGAGAAAGGCCATTTAGTGTTATCAGCTAATCACAACAGGGGATGCCTGCTGGCATCAGTTCTGAGGGTGCAGCTGAAAAAGCTGGATTCTTCTCCACTACTACTGAGTGGTGTGTTGCAGCTCTTAATGGCAGGCTATGCCCACCAGTGTCACAGCAGACCCCAGAAGTTCACCACCAATTTATTCTTTCCGGATTCTTGTCTCACAAATTCAAAGAAAGAAACCCATAGAGGGAAAACTGAATGTAAAGGAGCAGGATTTATTCAAGTGGAAAGAAAAGAGACAGAGCTCTTGCAGGGTAAGATAGGCATTGCTGCTTGAGTGTGCTGTCTAGGGGTTTATGTAGCTCATGGGTCAACACTATTGGTTCAAATTTATGCTAATCAGGTCTTGATCATCAGAGATATTGTTCAGTCCTTAAGTAACTTTCCTGCAATTTCCATTTGGGTCTGCCACCATTTCCATTTTCCCACTCCCCATGGGGACTGGCAAGGCCCCCACACAGGGTGATAGTTTGCAGGCCCTGGCTTGCTGTTCCTCAGGCCCACACTGGCATGGTGGGCTCCATGCTTGCCACCCATGTTCCAGTCTGCCAGAGCCTTTGCTTCTCCCTGAAGAAAGGCTTGGATTCCATAGAGTTACTACGTGTTAAGAGGCTAAAATTCTCTCTAGTGTCCTTGTTTTTGTCTACTTTGGGGTTTCCCTAGAGATAAGTGTTAAGAGGCTAAAATTCTCTCTAGTGTCCTTGTTTTTGTCTACTTTGGGGTTTCCCTAGGGATTCCTCCCTGCTCCCCCATGCTGGGGACTGAACCCAGGCCTCA